GCAAAATAACAACAACAAAGAAAAGGGGAAAAAAAGTACAGAATTGTGCAGAATAATTCTCTATTTTGAGGACATTTGTTGGTCAGTTTGTCATTGTTTACACACAATGCCTATGTCAGCTTGGTAAATTGTTTCTACCTGAGAGTATATGAATAAATTTGCATTATTTTTATTTGCTGTGATTTATTTACATTGATCAGCCACAACATTAAAACCACTAACAGGTAAAGTGAATAATTGATAATTTTTTTACATTTGCACCTGTCAAGGGGTGGGTTATATTAGGCAGCAAATGAACAGTCAGTTATTGTCTTGTGGTGTGTTCCTGGTATGCAGTGGCTAGTACCTACCAAAACAGTGCAAGGAAGGACAACAGGTAAATCAGCGTCAGGATCAGGGCCGGCGCTACCATTAGGCGAAAAAGGCATTTGCCTGGGGAAGTAGTTTCCTGGTGGGCTGACCTGCTGCTATCTGGGCATGTTGTGCTGGGTGAGCAGATCCTTAGCCACCCCCAGCGCAACCATTCACCTGCTGGGCTCCTCTCTGACAGTGTGTGTTAGTGAGAGTGTGTAAGTAATTCCAGTGGCGTACACACGACCCATGGGGCCCCGGTGCGAAAATTGATCCGTGGGCCCCCCCCACCCAGAGGCACTTACTCTGCGCGGGCCGAGACCGCAACACATGGCGGCGGGCACCTGGTCGCAGGGGTCGCAGGGCTGTGACCCCTGCGACCGCGGTATGTACGCCAGTGCATGCAGATACACATACACTTAAAGGACCACTATAGACACCCAGATCACTTCAGCTCAATGAAGTGATATGGGTGCCAGGTCTCTGTAGTTTTAACCCTGCAGCTGAAAACATAGCAGTTTCAGAGAAAAGGCCTTCACAAGCTTCTGGTAATGTGTACCTAGTTTATACTAAGTGACCCATAGGTTGAGGAGGCGGTGACCGTGGCGGTGGAGGAGGAGGATGAGGTAGCCAACACTGTTATTTATTTATTTATTTTTTTAAATTGTGGTAGCCCACAAAATATTGGAACATACAACAAAATAAACATTTGCGGCCTGCGTTGCATTTCTTGCAGTCCTGATGCATGGAGAAATGCTCAACTCCTGATGCATGGAGAAAAGGCCTTCACAAGCCTCTGCTAATGTGTACCTAGTTTATACTAAGTGACACATAGGTTGAGGAGGCGGTGACCGTGGCGGTGGAGGAGGAGGATGAGGTAGCCAACACTGTTTTTTATGTTTTTTTTTTTATTATTGTGGTAGCCCACAAAATATTGGAACATACAACAAAAGAAACATTTGCAGCCTGCGGTGCATTTCTTGCAGTCCTGATGCATGGAGAAATGCTCAACTCCTGATGCATGAAGAAAAGGCCTTCACAAGCCTCTGCTATTGTGTACATAGTTTATACTAAGTGACCCATAGGTTGAAGAGGCGGTGACCGTGGCGGTGGAGGAGGAGGATGAGGTAGCCAACACTGTTTTTATATATATATATATATATATATATATATATATAAAGAAATGATGATAGAGAGAGCACTCCAGAGGACTTGTTTAAATAAGATTTATCGGTGTACAAAAAATTGACGTTTCGATCCGCAGGTCTTTATCAAGATGAATAACAAAGTGAAACAGTGACATTTATAGCAACAAATAATTAAGGGGTAATCACTTACCCGAAGATAGGTGTGCAGCCTCGAAGCCATATGTGTGTGCTGTGAAATGGATAGATAGTAACGTGTAAGTTCTGTAACATCTAAGGAACACGAAGCTCTTGAAGATCTCGCAGATGACCTCAACATAATCATTAGACCAGCGGATAAAGGTGGGGCAATAGTCTTACAAGACTATGAAACCTACCGTTTAGAGATTCTTAGACAATTGTCTGACAACATGACATATAAAAAAATTGCTTTTGATCCCACAAACAATATTATGGAGAAATTACAGTCATTGGTTAATAGAGGTGTTATTGCTGGCTGGCTGGATGATCATACCGCCAAATATTTGATTGATTTGCATCCCAAAATCCCTCTGTTGTACACTTTGCCCAAGGTACACAAAGATCCTCTCAACCCTCCCGGTCGACCTATCGTCTCTGCTAAACGAGGAATTCTGGAACCGTTGGCTAAATTTGTTGATTATAATTGTAAGACACCTACCTTACTTATACCAACATGTCTTAAAGATACACAGGACCTCCTTACTCACCTGAGACAAGTATCTCTCCCGGATGGACCCATCACCTTAGCAACTGTAGATGTAAAAAATCTCTACACTATTATACCGCATAAAGATGGGATAGATGCTATGAGACAAGTCTTAATTCACTCAGATCAATATAAGGGACCTCCCATTGAATATCTTCTCGAATGTTTGGAATTTACTCTGATTAATAATTATTTTCGTTTTGAGAAATTTTTCTATCTCCAACAAACCGGCACGGCAATGGGATCGGCGATAGCTCCTAACTATGCCCACAGTTATATGTATTCGTATGAACAACAATATATTTTATCAAAATACCAGGCCAATCTCATACTATACTGCAGATATGTGGATGACATCCTCATGATATGGTCAGGTCCTGTCTCATCTTTTGATACCATGATACAAGATCTTAATCAGATTAATTCTCCCGTACGTCTCAGCCACTGTTGTGATGCTAACAAGATCGAATTCCTTGATGTTTTAATATATCGGACTCACAACTCAATTGGCTATACTTTCTATAGAAAAACCTCTGATCGTAACACTTTATTACATGCCACCAGTTTCCATCCAGGTGCTCTCAAGAGATCACTTCCCATCTCACAGTTTCTTTGAGTACTGAGAAACAACTCAGACCCAGATAACACTAAGGCACAGATCACTGTGATGCAACAAGCCTTCCGAGAGCGAGGATATTCGAATTATACACTCAAGCGATCGTTGGATAGAGCCTGCGATATTTACAATAAGTCTCGCACTAAAACACCCACTCTGTCTCAGGAACCTATGAGAATTACAGTACCACTTCTGTACCATACAGCAAGTGACCAAATTGCAAAGGTTATTCGTAAAAGATGGGACTTACTGGTTTCTGATCCTACATTACAACCTGTTTTCTCTCATCCTCCTCGAATTGCCTTTAGACGGAACCGTAATCTAAGAGATATCTTGGTTAAAAGCGATTGCCCCAATCAATATGCAATGAAAAAAGCTCATACTAAATTAGGCTGCTTTAAGTGTTTCAATTGTGTTACTTGTGGACATATGTTCACAGGACCCTCGTTTGCTCATCCACATTCAGGGAAACGATATCTCATTAAACACTATATTACTTGTCTCACCACTCATGTGGTTTACTTAATATCCTGCCCCTGTGGACTATATTATGTGGGAAAAACTGATCTTACACTACGAGATAGAATGCGAGGTCATCGGTCAGGGATTATGACCGCTTTTAGGGATGGCAAGACTGACAAACCGGTGGCCAAACACTTTTTAGAGGCGAATCACCGGCTTCCTACCCTTAAATTCATTGCCATCGATCATATCCCCCCGCTTAGTAGAGGGGGTGATCGATCCAAGATCCTACTTCAGCGGGAGGTCTATTGGATTAAAACATTGGACACTTTACATCCCAAGGGCCTGAACGAATATTTGTCTTTACATCCGTTCCTGGATACACGTTAATCTGATTTGTAGATTTTATGTGTAGCTTTTGTTCCTGCTCTCTATTATCTTCTCGCTCTCGTTTTAAAGGCCTCATTAGCTAATCTTGCCATTCATCTGCTTAGGTTATATTCTGCCTTTATTAACATTTTCATGGTGTACTTATTATGCATATTATGTATTGATAGAATAATGTATATATGTATATACTGTTTGTGTTTATCTTAATATATGTATTCACCGATAGTCCTCACCTTTCTATTTTTCTCTTGTCTCATATGCTCTATCTCTTTTATCGCAGGTTTAGTCTCACGTTTTTATCACTTTGGTATATAGTGTGATTGCATCACTTTTTTTGTTTTTTACCACTGTTTGTTTTTCTTTTATTCTTTATTTCACTTATTCTGCTTTTTCTACTAGATCTTTATTTCTTTTCCACTTCTTTTCTGCTTTAGCCACTTTTGTATGTTTAGGCTCACTCTCTATTTAGCAATTCTTTTCTCTGCTCTCTATATTATTACTCTCTCCGGACTATATGTTAATACCAAAATATATGTCTATTTTAAGATATACTATGGTCACCATCTCTATTTTACTTGTATATATTCTTCCTATCTGCTTTATTTCATTTTTCACATTATGCACGATCATTTACTTGTTCCTATGGCAACTGGACGTTTTTTCACGACCTTTTTCTGGTCGCACTTGTTTGACGTCATCACTCCGTTACGGAACTTACACGTTACTATCTATCCATTTCACAGCACACACATATGCCTTCGAGGCTGCACACCTATCTTCGGGTAAGTGATTACCCCTTAATTATTTGTTGCTATAAATGTCACTGTTTCACTTTGTTATTCATCTTGATAAAGACCTGCGGGTCGAAACGTCGATTTTTTTGTACACCGATAAATCTTATTTAAACAAGTCCTCTGGAGTGCTCTCTCTATCATCATTTCTTTATCTATCTACGCTCTGCAGCACCGAGGCTATTTTTGGATCATTACTTTCTTAAGGTAGAGTGCCAGATTTTACATATATATATATACATATATATATATATATATATATATATATGTATATATATATGTATATATATGTGTGTATATGTATATATATATATAAAAACAGTATATATATAGAAAAATGTCCAACCTCTGGCACTCAACCTAACGCACGTTCACAACCAATAACATGAACCCGGGTGCTTCCCAGCAATTAAACAAAACCGGAAACGGGAGCACTCACTTGGATTTCAAAAACTATATTTCAAAAAATCACCACCTCTCCATCCTGAAGGATCGAAACGTTGATGGAGAGGTGGTGATTTTTTAAAATATATTTTTTGAAATCCAAGTGAGTGCTCCCGTTTCCTGTTTTGTTTATATATATATATATATATATATATATATTTTTTTTTTTAATTGGGTAGCACCCAAAATATTGGGACATATAAAAAAAGACAGAGTAGCTGTTGACATTATAGTTGTGCAGGAACTTTGTTGACTCTAGAGAGGGCAAATCGCACATCCCCGTGGCGGCGACTTTGCATGCGGATGTCATCCATATCAACTTTGGATGCCAGTTTCTGCACCTACCATGGTGACCATGGGTAACGGGGAATCAGGGTTCCTGTCCATACAGGAAACGGCTACCACATGCAAGGAAGGCAGCAGGTGCGCAAATGACCCACTCGTGACGCGGGAAGGTAGTGACGACAAATAACAATACAGGACTCTTTAGAGGCCATGTAATTGTAATGAGTCCACTAGAAAACCTTTAACTCTGATCAATCGGAGGGAAGTCTGGTGCAGAGCCACTGACCCGTGCGTGCTGCAGCTGAAACTCCACTATCACCTGCTGCTGCTCGCACAGTCTCATGAGGCGGTGAGCGGGAAGGCCGAAGTTACGCTGCAGCGCAGACAGACGAGCAGCAACAGGGTGACAACGCCAAATCACGCACAGCCGCTATAGTGAATGTCACATTCCTGTTCCAAGTTGTGGATCAGTCTGGTGATGGCTTCTGGTATGAAGTACTCTTTTTACTGAAGCTGCATCAGGGTCCTGGTATGTGGCCGCACAAACGCTGGTGCTCAATACCAGGGGTCGTGCGGTTACCCTGCACCAGACCCTGCTAATCCATTCGACACTGTGACTCCAAACTTCAACATCAGGCATACTGGGTCTCAGTCGTCCGACTGCCGCCCAGACAGTGTCTGGGTCCTGGTCACCGGACTGCCCACCTCACTGTGAAACTACGAATGGATCGTTAAATCTGGTACGAACCCAAACTTTGCAGTTCGGGTTCACTCAAGTCTATTATGAATCCTTTGATCGCTACATGTATTACTTGGATTACTGGTTATTCTCGAGCTAATACATGCCGACGAGCGCAAGGGGCGGCCGCTCTGCTTTTGCACTCTGCTTCCTCTTATGTTGTGCTGGTGCCTCTGTGCGACCAGCGCCTCTTCCTCCAAACTGCACAAGTCACTCGCATGACCTTGATTCCATGTGGGGTCTAGGACCTCATCATCCTCCACATCATCTTCCACCCACTCCTCAACCCTGCCCTCCTTGCTGGTATGCACACTGCAGAAAGCCACAGCAGTTGGCACCTGTGTTTTTCCAGCATGTAAAGTCTGCAAAGGACATATGGAAATTGTTTTAGAATTTCCTCCAGGCAACAGTTTTCCCTATAAGCTGACCTCTCAGTTTGACTTGTGAGGGTATTGCCCCAGACTTACAATATTGTTGAAGTACCTCTTAGCTATTGATCACTGGTTTGAATATAGCAGCTTGTTATCTGGTAGTTTCTAGTATAGAAAATATCATTCTTTTTTTTTTCACTTAGATCTGTGTAACAAGTGTTGTAGGTGTGAAACAATATTACAAGTGACCGATGTAGTAAATTTGAATCAAAGTTACGCTTTGATTTGACTCTCAGATATGAAGTGAACACCCCAAATATACTATTTAGCACCCAAAATTTTTTTACCTTTTAAAACTCCAATGTAAGCAGCAGATTAGCAGCAAAACAATTAGAATGTTTACAACTGCGCAGTAAGAACACTATTAGACGCTTCTATTTGACTCTCAGAAATGAAGAGCAGGCCACAAAATTTAGCAGATTAGCACCCAGAAAATAAGAATGTTTACCACTGCCCTGTAAGCGCTCTATTAGACGCTTCTATTTGACTCTCAGATATGAAGTGCACACCCCAACATTTACTATTTAGCAGATTAGCAACCAGAAAATAAGAATGCTTACAACTGCGCACTAAGCACACTATTAGACGCTTCGATTTGACTCTCAGATATGAAGAGCAGGCCACAAAATGTACTATTTAGCAGATTAGCACCCATAAAATAAGAATGTTTACCACTGCCCTGTAAGCGCACTATTAGACGCTTCTATTTGACTCTCAGATATGAAGTGCACGCCCCAAAATGTACTATTTAGCAGATTAGCACGCAGAAAATAAGAATGTTTACCACTGCGTTGTAAGCACACTATTAGACGCTTCTATTTGACTCTCAGATGTGAAGTGCACCCCACTAAAATACTATTTAGCAGTTTAGGACCCCAAAAATTTTAAGTTTTAAAACTGCAAGGTGACAGCAGTATTTGACGCTTCTATTTGACTCTCAGATATGAAGTGCACCCCACTAATGTACTTTTTAGCACCCAAAAATGTTTACGTTTTAAAACTGCAATGTGTCAGCAGTATTTGACGATTCTATTTGACTCTCAGATATGAAGTGCACCCCACTAATGTACTTCCCCACTAATGTACTATTTAGCACCAAAAAACTTTTACTTTTTAAAACTCCGATGTAACCACAGTATTTGAAGCTTCCATTTGACTCTCAGATATGAAGTGCACCCCACCCCACTAATGTACTAGTTTGCAGAATTCTTACCTAAGCTGTCCCTATCAGCGGCAGCATCCTCTCCCTACACTAATAAGACCGCATGTGCGTGCGGCGCTATGCGACTCCAGCTTATATATAGAGGCTGGGTCACATGCTGCACTGGCTAATCACAGCCATGCTATTAGTAGGCATGGCTGTGATGGCTTCTATGGGCACACGAGTCAAACGCTTGTTGATTGGCTGCCCTGCAGCCTTTCAAAACGCGCCATTAAATCGCCAAACACCGAACTCCAACCTGAACATACAGTGATTTGTTCGTGTTCGGTTCCGTGGCCCAAAAAAACAAATTTTCGGTACGAACCCGAACTTTAAAGTTTGGGTTCGCTCAACTCTACTCACTATGTCTCTCTCCTAAAATGTTTCCCAGTCTCTGTTTCCTAAATATCTCAACAGTCTCTATCTTTTCCCTAAATGTCTCCCCAGGCTGTTTCCATTCTTTCTTACTGTGCGTCTGCTTTCACTTAAAGGGACACTATAGGCACCCAGACCACTTGAGCTGATTGAAGTGATCTGGATGCAATATCCCAGTGCCTTTACACTGCAAAAGTAGTTATTGTAGTTTTTAATAAACTGCAATAAATACCGTTCAAGGTTAACTCCACCTCTAGTGGCTATTCATGGGGACGTCCAGCGTATAATGCTTTGCTATGGGGAAATCCTAATGCGAGCACGACCATTGAGGAGCGACGGCGGACCTGAGCCAGTGCCGAGGGAAATCAGTGCTGGACCCAGGTTAGTGGCAGAAGGGATTTTTAACCCCTTCTGCACCATGAGGTGGAAAGTGCGCTGGACGGAGGGTGAAGTTTTATTTTCTTTTAATGTCTACTCAGTGCATCTCTTTCCCCAAATGTCTCTTCACTGCAATTCAGAGGTTAGTGAATAAACCTCTTAGGTAATGTAGTTGCATTCATGAGGGGTGGCAAATTGGATTGTTGTCTAGGGTGGCAAGAATCCTTGCACTGGCCCTGGTCAGGATCATAGGTGCCCAAGGCTTACTGATGCATGTAGGCAAAGGCTAGCCTGTCTGGTCTGTTGACACAGAAGAACTACTGTAGCTCAAAATGCTGAAATACCTAATGCTGTCCATGAATTGCATTGCAGTTTTCTGCATATGGGGCTGCATAGCCACAGACTGGTCACAGTGCCCATGATGACCCCTGTCCATTGCCAAAACCATCTTCGATGGAAACATGAATATCAGAACTGGACCATAGTGCAATGAATCACATTTTCTTTTAGGTGCATTTTTGTCATTTGACTGGGGAAGAGATGGCAGCAGCATTCACTACAGAAAGAAGACAGGCATGCAAAGACAGTGTTGTGTTTTAGGCAATGTTCTTCTAAGAAACCTTGGGTCATGGCATTCATGTCGATGTTACTCTGACACATACCAGCTAATTAGAGATTGTTGCAGACCACATACAGTACAACTTTTCAAGGCATGGTGTTCCCTTCCCTTTCAGCAGTAAAATGCACCCTGTGCACAAATTGTTAAGGAATGGTTCGAGGAATATGAAAAAGAGTTCAAGGTGTTGCCTTGCTCCAAATTCTCCAGATCTCAATCAGATTGAGCATCTGTGGGATGTGTTGGAACAACAATCTGAGGCCCTTCTTTGCAGCTTACAGGACTTAAAGTTTCTGGTACTACGGTCTTACTGACAGATACCGCAGGTCACATTCAGAGGTCTTGTGAAGTCCATGCCTAAACACATCAGAACTGTTTTGGCAGCAAAAGTGGCACCTACACAATGGCTGATCGATGTATTTTATTGTAAAAAAAATGTTTATGTCACTAGAAAATGTGTTGTTATCTAATACAAAAAGACAATATCCACTGTTAGAGAGAGAGAGAGAGAGAGAGAGAAGAAGAAATTAAGGTGTTTAGGCAATATGCCCTAAATAGATTATAAACAGGAATGAAAGTAAATAATAAGAAAACCTATAGATAAAAGTATAGGTTAAAATAGAAGGACAAATAAAACAGAATATATAGATTGCAGGGTTACAGGAAAAGGAAAAATGTAGTTAATCAGCTCCCAATTAGAAGGAGTATTGATCAAGCAGGAACATAACACCATATAATATTACTTTGAGACAGAGTCCAGATTGGTGTTATGCAGGTAGGTATGGAGCAGACATGTTGTATGGATCAGGCTGGTAGAAATCAAGTGGGTAAGATTAAGCATAGTTCAGGGTGGTATTGAGCAGGGTTGAAGTAAGGAGGATTGAAGCAAAGAAGGTAAGTCCACAGGTTGGTTCACAGGAGCCAGGATCTGAAGTGTTTCAGGATAAGCATCAACTTCAATTTAAAGGCCATGTGGTGAGCTGGGTGTAGCTTTTTGTAGGTTGCTCAATTAATCCAGGCAGGTGAGAATTATAAGGTAAGTTGTCAGAACTAGAGACAAGGAAGACCACTACAGTCAAACACAATCAGTGCAGGAACTTGGTTTTAAAGGAACAGAATAAACAGAACAAAAAGTCTTGTTTGTCAGCATAGGATCCTGACAGCAGCAAGCATGTAAAATATACAATATTCTAGATAGACAAAAAGGCACAGGAAACAAGACATAAGGAGACAAATCATAAGGTGGACCCAGGAAGCAGCATTGCTTGTATAGACTGGCCTGGTCTGAATTCTCATAGATAGATCTGTGATAAAATATCAATATGCAGGTATTCAGAAATTTTAAAAAAGTAAGTGAATGTGTGGAATGTGGTAAATATACCTCCTCATAGCTTCCTTACACTTTCTTTTCAAAATGTAACTTGATCATATTTAATGCTGCAAAACTACAGTTTTGGGACAAAGTGATATATCTGTAGTGCCTAACATATTCAATACATTATTGCACCTGTTTTCTCGGAATCAAGCACATTCTTATAGATGCTGCAGGATTGCCTTGATAAATAT